TTATATTTTCAGCGGTTGTGATGTCTGGCTTTCACTCATAAATTAAGTTAAGATCTTCGAAATCACTAGTTTCGTTCCCGCCGTCTGTGGCAGACATTCTGAATCCTTAATATTCATTTTTCTGGCATACGAAAATAAATTCCTCATGAGTAGAATTTTCTATCATTTTATGTTGAAAACAAATCAATTCCAAAGACTGCGAACTTTATGAAATATAGATTTCAAACTAGATTATATTCCTTTATATTATATTTAGATCAAATAAATTCTGATCATATGAAAACTTCTTTTACAGTCCAATTCAGATTCTTTTGGTTGAATTTTCATTTAATTATCAGTTAAACTTCTTAATTTAATTCTCATTGATCTAACTAGAATAGGATTTAGTATGTTTTAGTTATTACAATACTGCAAAATCTTTTTCTAAGTTATCCATATTAAAATTAATGTAAGAATTAGGAGTAGAAATTAAGTAAAAATTGAAGCGAATGCAATCTTAAACATAAAAGTTATACTTTGGTAATTATTTATGAAGTTAATTTACTTTTAGGGTGTACCATGCAATCTGAAAAAAAGTAACTCCAGTAAAAGCAACAGAACTGGGTAATTATCAAATATACAAATCCTTCTATATTACATCCTATAAGTTAATGAACTAACTAGCTTATTCACTTCCAAAAAGTCATAATTCAATAAACTTTTACTAGTCCACAGTAAAAGAAAAAATTTGTTCATGGAACCAGCTATACATACATTCACGACTTGTGTAACAAATGGTACAGATCTACACCCCCAAAATTGAGAAGACTTCAGAAAAGAGACGACGACCAGCATAACAAACAACAAACGACCATAAATAGAGGGGGAGAAAAGAAAGGGAAAGAATAGCAATGAACTCGCCGGCAAACTGTAGAATATCGATCAATAATTAAGCAAGGATATTGATAATTCAATTTTATAGAAGAAGATATGTTTTCTCCTCTGGCGTAGAGAGCATGGTTTCGTCACTTCCCAATTCCAAGTTCTTTGGTTATGTCTCTTGTCAGGCTGAATTGCAAGGTGTTTTGCCATGGAAACAATGTGCGTGTAACCGGAAGTTTCCTCCGAAGATCCTATATTACAACAAATGGCATTTAGAATGTTATTTTTCGGGGGGGGGCGGGGGGGGGGGGGG